TTTATTCAGTATTTAAAGTACACAATGGGAATGAAATGTCAGCCTATTGGAAGCTCAGGAGAAGGAAAGGAAAAAAAAAAAAAAAAAAGAAAGAAATGTCAGCCTACATTTGCTCTGTGTATCTCCAAAATGGAATTTCCATTTATATATTCAAGATTGCCTTATGCACAAAATGAACATAAGTGTATAAGATCAGAGCGAAACAGGTGTTTATTCAGTATTTAAAGTACACAATGGGAATGAAAGTCTTCGGAGCTCCTTTGCTCTTCCCTGTAACACTTCACAGGTTAGCAGATAAAAGAGGCTGTGGGGGCTGTCTTCAGCGTAGTGTAGCTTTTCCTATCTCCACTGAGCCCTTGAGCTCCACGGAGCCCAGCTTGCAAACCACTGGTCTAGAGGATTTCTAAGTAAGGTGTGAACACTAAACTTATAAATATTTTTTTAGGTCTGGTGATGAGGGATATTATCCTGAACTTACAGAATTTTGTGAAAAGCGCCTTGGAAGCTTAGCTCCTGGAAGTAGAGCTCTGAGGAAAGATAAACCTGCAGCGACAGCATCCAGTTTTACAACAGAAGAATGGGAAAAAATCGATGGTGATATAAAGGTAGAGCACAACACAGGTTTTTGGGAGCCTTTGTAGTCACATTGTAAATGTGTCTGTTTCACTTACCTGAATTTTTGGGCTTCTTGCTCATTAGTAAAGGCGTTATAGTGGTAATTACTTAGGAAGTATTGGTGCTTCTTTTATTTCTGGAAAAATAATGTGAATTTGCATTTGAATGTGGATTTTAGACAGCTGAGTAATACTCCATCCTATAACAGAATCATACATTTTTATGTTTATCATTACATGTTTGCTGTACAGCATGTACATTCATCATGGAGAGTTGGTATATTATATCATACATGTCAATTCTAAAAGAATTGTAATTTAACCAGCTTTTAAAAATAGTGCTACAAATAAAAAATAAAAACATACAAATAGTGCTACATAAACATGTTTGTTTATAGTTTTGTGGTCTTTCTTTACATCTTCTTGATGATTTCTTCTGTATAAATTATTAGAATTCAAAGTATTTGAGGACATGATTGGAATACTTTTAAGGCTTTTGAAGCATTCCTGTGTTCTCAGAGAGACAAATTGTACCTTCGTACTGACACATCATTAGGGTATAAGAATGTCCACTTTCAGGCTGGCCAAATAGCTCAGTGGATTAAAGCACCTGCTTAGGCAGACACAGGGGCTGGGAGTTTGATTCCCAGGCCTGCCGTGCTGGCCCCGCCTGGGGCACACCAAGGTGGCAGTTGAGACTGGGCATGGTGGCACAGACCTGTAATCCCAGCATATGGGAGGCTGTAAACAGGAGGATCACTATGAGTCTGATCTATGCAGTGAGACCTTGTAGACCCTGTCCTAAAATAAAAAAAAAAAAGAGTCTATCTTCAACTTCCCTTCATTAGATACTATAATTACTTTAATTTCATAGCTGAAAAAGTGATAGTGTATTTTTTTATTACTAGTAAAGTTGGATCCTTTTCATCTGTTACTTGAACTCCTTTTGTTAAGGACCCGTTTGTGTCTTTATTCTTTTAATTAGCCTCATTTATGTATAGTTTATATTACTAACCTTATAGTATACGTTTAACTGAGATCTAATAAATATATGATATAGAATATTTCTATTATTTCAAAAAGTTTCTTTTTGCAATTTTCAGTTACATTTGCCCAGTGCCTTGACCTCTGACAAGCACTGAACTACTGTCTGTCACCATAATTTTGCCTTCTCTAGATGTTTAGATAAATATGATCATTCAGTATGTTGTCTTTTGTGTCTATTTTCTTTCACTTAGTATGATGCTTCCCAGATTATCTATGCTGTTACAGATATCCATAGTTCATTCCTTTAAATTGCTTGGTGTCAAATTATATGAATTTCCCACTGTCTATCTATTTACCAGTTAATGAGTAAAATGTGAAAATGTTTTCTAAAGTGGCTGGGCCATTGTGCAGTCCTGCCTGCAGTGTAGTTGCTTTGTATATTGATTATTATTTAATATTACCAGTTTTGTTAATGTTCATCATTCTACTAGGTAGTTAATGGTATTTCATTGAAGTTTTAATTTGCTCTAATGACTAATAATGCTGTATCTTTTCATAATGCCTCTTTGCCATCTGTGTATCTTCTTAAGGCTTTTTTTTTGTTCCTCGAATGCCTTCAGGGCACTTTTGGCCAGCTGGAGAGGTGTGAGGTTCGAACTCCAGCAACCTGAGGCTGACAGCTTTGTGGAAGCAGCCACTTAAAGGCCTGAGCTAGGGCCAGGCCCCCAAAA